TTTTGCGTCTTTGTTATTATTATTTTTTTTTTAACTGGTGCAAGCATGCTATATTTTTCCATGAATTTTCTATACGTGACTTAAGCCATACACATTCAGAGAGTATTATTTTCCTGCCTCAGGGCAGACAGAAGGCATTCTGCATTTCTAAATAGTGTGCAACTTGAAGAAGCAACGCAAAGGATGAATATTATAATAACCTGTTGCGTTGTTCTCCAGATTTTGCACTTTTTGCATTCCTCTTTTAGAACCATTTCACATATAGTCAGCTTAATTGCTTTCTTTTAGTGCTAATCTCTGTCTTCTGACTTTTTTGTCACATCCTGATGGAGGGACTCGCAAAAGGAGGAAGATTTTATTGTAAGTGTCTTGCCTAGAAAACACGCAATTTTCAAACTTAGGAAATTTCAATGTAAGTTCAAAATTTCAATTTTCAACTATTGTAACTGAAATAGTCTTGAATATCCATCAGATTGAGGACATTCTTCTGACCTCATTCTGTACTTTGAAGCATATTGTCAAAAATTGTGATGCTGTATAAATTCATGTGAAATCACCATAAATAAGTCCAACCCAGAAATGGGTAAATTGGAAATCATTCTGCCTATGTTTGTTTATTTCTGGAATATGATTTCGTTTATTGTTGGCCCAGATAATTTCCTCCAGTTGTGGAATTCATAGGGATAAGTTCTGGAAACAAAATTTCTGATGACCTTTCAGGTAACATACAATGTTCTGTAGCGATTGGGCAGCAATGATAAAGACTTTTGACTGTGTGAAAATTCAATTATTTGTATTGTGCATATTTAGTACAGTCTCCTTTGAGTCCCTCTCAGCTCAGGTCCACCCTTAAGCCAGAGAAATACAGAATTTGGGAAAAATAGTGCTGAGGTTTGGGTTTTTTTCCCCCTCTGCACTAGTAGGGGAAGAACATTTGCTGCTGTAGTCCATCACCTCATCCTGATGTCCTGCAGTGCTCCTTGGAGCCAGTGCTGAGAGAACACTTGAACTTTCATCCATATGGAATAAAAAAACCTCTTATTCTTAAAAAAGAGGTCTTTCCAATCTGAATTGGTCTCTTCTTTAGAGACTGGAACTTGCAATGTTAAGATAGCACAGGTCATTTATACTTCAATTTTCATAGAAAACTTTGCCAGTTCTCTGATTCGGCTTTGTATTCCAGGTACACCCATCACACTCAAAAACATCTACAGTTCTATAGACCATTTCTGTATTTACGTTTCTGTCTCACTCTGTTGTATGACCTACAGACAGTACAAGTTCAGATGCTGCTGAACGAGATTTATTTCAAATTGTTGAAGCTGGTACCTTGGGTACTGGAACTTTTGGCTTAATCACTGTGTACAGTTTACACTGTCTGATATTTGCTATCACAAAGGATAGTGACAAAATAGTTTCCTTCTTTTGCTAAATAAAACTCCAAGCAAAGTGGGGTTTTTTTTTGGCTTTTTGGTTTGTTTTTTTTTTTTTTTTTTTTTTTTTGTGCAGAAATGCCTTTTTAAGATTACCTTAGCCTTTAGGAATGCTGGAAAAAAGTTCCAGTTAGAACAAATGCAACGTATTACCAAAAACCAGGATAGATATTTAAATACTCAAATCCATAAAATAAATCAAGATAATAGGAGCAAATTAGGTAGGCAGGGACACATTTTTGACACCTGTAGACTTTTATTCATTCCTCAGAGCATGATTTCCTTTCTCACCCAATATCAAGTCCCTGTTTAAAGTATTGGTGAATAATTTATAAATATTATGAAAACCTGAATGTGATTTGGCCTTTTTGTTTTCATTTGAAATAACACTTTCAGAAATATATTTAGGTAGGGACCTAAAGAAAAGTCATGGATATATAGAATGTGCAACCAGAAAATGCAAAGAGTAAAAAGCAGTTTTAATAAATGAAAAAGTTTAGCAGCATTGCACTGTAAGAGGCTACTGAAAGCAACAATGGGATAAATGAGCACAAAGATTTTACTTGCAATTCCTTGTTTCTATCTGATAGAACTGGGTTGCAATTAACAAAATGTATTAGTAAATGGAAATAATCTACTAGTGTTTAGGATTATGTCTACTTAATGAAAGATATTAATGGCAAGGTATTCAAAATTGATTTAAATCCATGTATGATACAAAACAAACAAAAACAACCATGAACATTGTGATTTCAACCCCTTTTTTTTTTATTTCTTGTTGACAAATGAACAGCACAGAAGACATGGCACCATAATAGCATGTTTACAACATAACAGTTGTGAAACAAGTATCTGCAGTTAGTTAGACTTAAATTATGCTTTCTTTTAAACTAATCTATTAATATAAAATGTCAGTGACAGAACATACAG